GTAGTTTTTTTTTTTTTTTTTTTAAATGGGTCAATTTTTATTGCCTTAATAGTTCGGTGACTAGAGAAGGTTTATTTAACCTCTATGGATCTGTTTATTATTACTATTTTTTGAGGCAGAATCTTGGTCTGTCACCCAGGCTGGAGTGCAGTGGCGCAATCTTGGCTCACTGCAACCTCCACCTCCCAGGATCAAGGAATTCTGCCTCAGCCTCCTGAGTAGCTGGAATTACAGGCATGTAATTCCACCACTCAGAGCTAAGTTTTGTATTTTTAGTGGAGATGGTGTTTTGCCGTGTTGGCCAAGCTAGTTTTGAACTCTTGACTTCAGGTGATTCACCCACCTTGGCCTCCCATAGTGCTGGGATTAGAGGATGAGCCACTGCACCTGGTCCTGTTTACTACTTTTTAACATCTTTATTGAGTTATAATTCACATACCATGCAATTCGCTATTTAAAGTATACAGTTAAATAGCTTTTCATTTATTCACAAAATTGTAATCCATTACCACAATCAATATTGGAACATTTTTACTACCCTAAAAAGAAACCCAGCACCCCTTAGCTGTTACTGCTTCCCAGTCCCTCCCCTATTCCACCCAGCTCTGGGCAACCACTTACCTACTTTCTGTCATTATTGATTTGCCTATTATGGATATTTCATATAAATGGACTCATGAAATAAGTAGTCCTTTGTGAATGGCCTTTTAAATTTAGCATCATGCTTTCAAGTTTCATCCAAGAAATTTGTTGTGCTTTGCATCAATACTTCATTCATTTTTATTGCCAAATAATATTCCATTGTATGGATATACCACATTTAATTTATCTTTTCATTGGTTGATGGGCATTTGTGTTGTGTTCACTCTTTGGCTATTATGATTAATGCTGCTATGAAGGTTTGTGCACAAGTTTTGTATAGACTCATGTTTCATTTCTCTTGGGTATATGCTTAGGAGTAGAGTTGCTGGGTCATACAGTAGATCTGTGTTTAACAAGAGGAATTGCCAGGTTGTTTTCCAAAGAGGCTATAGCCTTTTGCATACTTAATTTTACAATGTATTATTATTCCAGTTTCTCCATATCCTTACTCACACTTGCTTATAATCTGACTTTTTATTATTGCCATCCTAGTGGGTACAAAGTAGTATCTCATTGTGGTTTTTATTTGCATTTCCTTGATAGCTAGTAATATTAAGCCTATTTTTATGTGCTTATTGACAGTTTGTATATCTTTGGAGAAATCTCTGTTCAAACCTTTTGCCCATTTTTAAATTCACTAATTTGTCTTTTTATTATTGGAGGCAGTTAGTTCTTATATATTCTAGATACATGTTCCTTATCAGATTATGATATGCAGTTTTTTCTCCCATTCTCTGGGCTGCCTTTTTATGTTCTTAATAGTGTCCTTTGAAGCACAAACATTTTTAATTTTTATATACCTAGTTTATTTTGTTTATTGCTTATGCTTTTGGTGTCATATCTAAGAAACCATTAAGGTCATGAAGACTTTACTCCTATGGTTTTTTCCTAAAAATTTTTACAATTTTGGCTCTTGAATCTAAGTCTTTGATTCATTTTGAGTTAATTTTTATATAAGGTAGGAGTTAGGGATCCAGCTTCATTCTTTAACATGTGGAAAGACCCAGTACGATTTGTTGAAAAGATTATTCTTTCTGCATTTCATTGTCTTGACACACTTGTTGGAAATCAGTTGATAACAAATATGAGGGTTTATTTTGGATTCTCAATTCTATTTCCCTGATCTATGCCTATCTTGATCACTATAGCTTTGTCGTAAGTTTTGAAATCAGAAACTATGAGTCCCTTGGTTTTGTTCTTTTTCAGGATTGTTTTGGCTCTTCTGAGTACCTTAGATTTCAAAATGAACTTTAAGATCAGTTTTTCAATTTAAACAAAAAAGTCTGCTGAAATTTTTGATAGGATTATATTGAATCTGTATGTTAATTTAGGGAATATTGCCATCTTAATAGTATTAGGTCTTCTAATCCGTAAATACATATTTAGGTTTTCTTTAATTTGAACACTATGTTGTAGTAGTCAGAGTATACTTTTGTACTTGTTGGGTTAAATTTATTTTTAGCATTTTATCCTTTTTGATGTTAATATAAATAGAAGTTTACTTAATTTGTCATGTTGCTTATTGCTACTGTATTAAAAACCCAATTTCCTTTTCTTATTGTTCTTGTATCCTACAGCCTTGCTGAATTTATTAGTTCTAATAGGCTTTGATGAGACCATACCATCTGAAAATAGAGGTAGTTTTACTTTTTCCCTTCCAATCTGGGTGCCTTTTATTTCATTGTCTTGCCTAGTTGCCCTGGCTAGAACCTCAAATATGATGTTGAATAGAAGTAGAGTGTTCAGTCATTTTACAATAAAGTCCTAGGTTCAAGAACTTAAAATTAATAGTTGGTGACACTACAAAAGCACACATCTGTGAGTGGTGAATCTGAGATGCTGGTAGATATGTACACTCGTAGATTCTACTTCTGTTAAACTTCAGTCAAACATGATCACTTTTGTTATCTTTTAACAAGTTAATTTTACAGTGAAAATTTAGATTAATTGGAGAAATCTATATAATCCATCTTTCTCTCCAATTTAGTGAACAGTATGCTTACAGACTCTGGAAACAGATAAAACATGGTCCATACACAGTAGATGAATGTAAACAGTGCTCAGTGTCCTCATGCTCTTGTGCCTCTAAGGTACCTCTGCTTTTCTTAACCATCAAGAATAAAATAAAGGAATGTTGGTGCCAGTAGAGACTATCCTTTCTCATTTTATAAATTAGTTCATTGGAGGTAAAATCTTGGCCAAGGTCACTCACACATGTTCTTCCACAGAGTACTAGGAACATAAAGGGCCCTCAGTTACCAGTTAGTGAGTTAGGTTTAGAGACCTCCACAGCTTCCCCTGGATTTGGGAGTGGGCACTGTTGGATTTGAAAGGCTCAGTGGTAACCTGTCTCCAAACCACAGCCTGTTGACTTCCCTTCCTGCTCTTTCCAAGGGTTGTATGTGGTGGCTGTTATGCAGCTAGCTGACATTTCTGACCTAATGTAGCCAGAGGGTGCTTAGAATCTAGGGCAGTCATCTCCCTGCTAAACAGCTAGAGGTCTGGCCTGAATGAATTTGTTCCCAGCAGCTGTAGGTTGTGATGGTAATCTTGTGTAAAGTTGCAGTGTGAGGGTGGAAGCCTGGCAGGCCGAAGGAGTATATTAGTAGCCTTCCCTTTGTGTCTTTTACCTAGAAGGGAATTCCTAATAGAGAAAAAAGAGACACTTATTGAACTACTCTTCTTTCATGTATGTTCTCTTTAAGCCACCCCTTTTATCCCACAACCCTTTAAAATGCTGGTAAAGGAAGAGTGTGTGTTTCTTTCTTTCTTTTTTAATTGACAGGAGAATTGGAGGTCCAGAGAAGTTACTTCCCTAAAATTGCACAGTACATTGAAGGGGGACTGACGGGGGAGGTGATGGGACAGTACACTTACTTGGAAGAGACACTGTCTTCCAAGTTAAGATCCTTTCCATTTCTCATAGCTGTTTGAGTATGGATAGTTTGCATATACAAGTTATTAGGTAGATCTTCTGGGCCTTCAAGTGAAATTCTAATAAAGAGCCACCCCAGCAATAAGGATCAGGTGCTACGATTCTGTGAAGTCTTTGGCTGGTGCTCACAGTTAGGACCAATGGCTAATTAAAATGGAAAGCTGCATTGATTACTAGCTGGTAACAACTTATTGTGCTGCCATCAAGTAAAGACAAACCCTTGGACTCCCCTGAATTTGTTCCACCTAGATCCTTTCTGTTAATATAGAACAGGAAGCATATGGTTAGAATTTAGAAGTCTATGTAATTAATAAAGGAATGTTTTTAAAGTAAATAATTTGAATACTTTCAGTTGACTTTTAGTTTGTTGAACTTCATCTCTTTTCTCATACCTTCCCTTTGCTCACTTTGAACTCAGAGAAACTTGAGAGGAGTTACATTATACAGTAGATACAGACACCTAGGTTTGAATCCAGGCTCTGCCATTTACTATCTGTGTGATAATTATTTACTTAACCTCTCTGTGTCAGAACTTGTTACATGAAGAAATAATATGTCGTCATAGGATTGCAATGATAATTAAGTGAGTTAATACCTACAAAATGCTTAAAAGAGTACCTGGCATGAAATATGTACTCAGGACATGTTAGCTGTTTACTGTTAAAAGTGCTTGTAATACTAAAAAATATTATTACTACCACTGCTACTATGACAGCTACATCTCTTCTGTCAAAGTTGAATTACCTGTAGTTCATTTGTATTTTAAAAGTGGCTTACGAGTTACATAAACCTTCCTTTTTTAGCAGCTGGAGTGTTAAGGGACCATAGGAGAACGAACCCTGTTTACAAGGCATGCTGTAAAATTCCATCCTGATTCCCTTTGACTGTGCTTTCTGAGCACCTAGGAAAGCATTCCTGCTGAACTGGATCCAGCTCATGGTATTGCAAGCTCACTTAGTGTGGGAAAACCTAACATATTCTAATAAAATGAACTAGATTTAGAGATTAGTGAAAAGTCCTAATTTTAGTACCAGCCTGGGTACAACACATAAAAGGAAAAACACAGAAAATGCTCCTGGTTCACTTTCTGATTTTTCAAGATTATCTGATTCCTTGGAAAACTAATAACACAAATGTGGGCATAGAGAAAATAATTTTTCTTCCTTTCAGATTTAGACGGGTAACAGTAACAGATTGTCCCAAAAGGTGTCTACTATCCTGATTTAGCACTTGCTGTGACTCTCTAAGCCTTTTTTCTTGTAATTTCTGGAAAGTTCTTGGCTTTCAGGAATTACAGCTGTAATTCCTCAGTATCTGCATGTTTCAGGCACACAGTTAAATGGTATTAAAGTGCAGTTACATAATTAAACAACTTCCTCCTGAGTTATCTTCAGCACCTGTCTCTTCCTCTCCTGATCAACAGGTATCTCAGACGAAGACATCATCAACATTACTCTTCCTACTGGAGTCCCCATTCTTCTGGAATTGGACGAAAACCTGCGTGCTGTTGGGCCTCATCAGTTCCTGGGTGACCAAGAGGCGATCCAAGCAGCCATTAAGAAAGTAGAAGATCAAGGAAAAGTGAAAAAAGCTAAAAAATAGTCTTTCCTAACTGTTGGCTATGAAGAAATACAAAAGAAATGGCATGCAGTGTGTTATGGGTGCTGAACTCTCTCTTTCCCTGATTTTCCAGAGCTAGGCTGTGGAGTAGAGTTTGTATAGGTAACTTATTTTGGCCCAGATAAGGCTTTAGGATGTCTGAGTGCTTATGTCATAAGCCTATGAGTTAGCTTTCCTGCTAGCCCCCTAGGTAGTCACCAAACTAGTAACTAGTAGGGTTTAATGAAGGTCATAAGTTTCTGAGATGGGAGAGTAACAAGTACAGATGATAAAGTTAAAGGTATTTATCATTGAAGAAATCATTATTGAGTCACCATTGACAGGCACTATTCCAATCAGTAGTTTACTTTTATATTTAATAAGTTTTTCTGGGATGATAGTAAGGAATATTAGATAATATACCATATGTATTTATTACTAGTCTTTTCTTATAGGAAAAGACTGATAATGAGGGCCAGAGGCCCATCAAATGAGAAAATCACAGATATATTTCTCCAAGAAAGCCAGCAACCACCACCACCATGACAGAAATGACAACAAGGCCCTTTAACTTGTCTTCTAGTTTAGAGACATCCTTCATTTGACATTTAGTAGAATTCCTCTTTGGTCGTAAGAATAAGCAGCAAGCTGGGTGCGGTTGGCTGACGCCTGTAATCCCCACACTTTGGGAGGCTGAGGTGGGTGGATCATGACGTCAGAAGATCAAGATCATCCTGGCCAACATGGTGAAACCCTGTCTCTAATAAAAATACAAAAATTAGCTGGGCATGGTGGCATGCACCTATAATCCCAGCTACTTGGGACGCTGAGGCAGGAGAATCGCTCGAGCCAGGGAGTCAGAGGTTGCAGTGAGCCGAGATTGCACTGCTGCACTCCAGCCTGGTAATAGAGTGAGACTCCATCTCAAAAAAAGAATAAGCAGTAGATAGACAACTATGGCTGTTGAGGTTCTCTTTTTGGTTTGTTTTAATTTTTTGAACTTTAATCTTTGGGTACCTATAATTAGTTTAAAAATAAAGCACCTGATAATAAATTGACTCAAAATGGCATCCTCAAAGTGTCTCCATGTGTTTGGTGACTTTTAGATAGGCCTCTAAACTAGTCTTTGACTCATATTTTCCTGTAACACACAAAAAATTGCACTTATTTCAACATAACAGACACTCATGATTTTCTGTATATTGAAGCACGAGGCAGGGAAGGTAGCAAATAATGCATGTAATTTTATTCACATGAGCAGAAGGAATGGTATACTGGAAATTGTGACATAAATTTGTTGTTCATTAACTGAGGGCAAAAGATTATGGTATGTAGCACAGAGCAGTCAGGGTAGGCCGGACACAATTGATTGCTTATCCGTCTTAATGACACTCTTCCACACTTTGTTTTTAGATGCTGTGGGTATGTAAGTCATCATTTCTTTAAGCTGTTGACTCTGTTTCAAAGCAGGTCACATGTGTTTCAGTGATAAAGTCAGGTAAAACATTTGTAGCTGTAATATCTGTTACAGATATTTATCATTTTTTCTTGATTTTTCATTGGTGGATTAGTTTATTTGTATCCACTGTATAGTAAAATTGGCATTTGAAGAATATGAATTTTAAGTGTTTTTGCTACTGCATGGTCTCCATTTGATTATCAGTGCAAAACTTTCAGAGATTAGCCAAAGAAGATGGCTGAAAGGACGAGATGAACCTGCTTTTCCTGCAGCTGGCCACATCTGTCATGCATAAGGACATGGAATGTGGGTGCTTTACATTTATTACCTACTATTGGTTTCTCTAGTGTAGCCCCTTCATTTTAGTGGTGTTGATTAACCAAGTAATACTCCAGAATTCAAATATCAGGGTCAAGAATGCAACTACCAGATCTTCCTAGAATTCCAAACCTGTGGCTAGGCTGTAACTCACACCATTTCGAAATAGCATCTCTGAAACTGGCCTTTGAGTTTTCCAGCCCAAGGAGTGACCACGTCTTAATGCACTTCAAGATCCTGGAGTTGGATTCTTCCATTGTTCTGCGTCTAAGTATCTACTTGCAGGGAACCTTCTGGCAGCATCATGTGCTCTGCACACAAAAGCAACTCTCATATCCAGCCACTTTAGAATCTCTCAGGCATCCCGCGAAAGGGATGATTTTTGCTGATACAGTACTCTATGATACAATTTGGTCTTACAGTTTTTGAGATCTTGGCTGAAAAAATAGATGTGAACAGAAGGGATTTTTTTTTTAAATGTCATGTAAAATTAGTTAACTCCAGCACTTCAACCTTAGGATTATCTATTGAACCTGTTTGCTTTGTATAAACAGTTTATCCAGAATGTCTGATTCAGGAATCTTGAAGGCTACCTATTCTCTCCCCTAATCTTGGTGTCCTTCTGTTCTGAGAAGGAAATTAGGGATTTATTTTCTCCAAAAAGAAGGGATGACAATGAGCAGCCCAGCCATGGTGGTGGCTCATGCTTGTAATCCCAGCACTTTGGGAGGCTGAGGCAGGAGGATTGCTTGAGACGAGAAATACGAAACCAGCCTGGGCAACATAGCAAGACTTGTCTCTACAAAAAAAAAAAAAAAAGAGAGAAAAAGGTGACAGCCTATTTAGGAATTAGGTCCTTGAAGGGGGCAGCCTACCCTGCTGCCAGTTTAGGCTTTCCCTGGGGCCAGCTATGCGTGTCTCCTCTGCCCAGGCTGAGATGATTGTCCCATGCAGGTCAGTGTGGCAAGATAAAGACAATAGCAGCCTCAGCTGCTCCCAGAGTTTTAACTTTTAAAAAGCTTCTCAGACTAGTACTGTATCCCAGTACACTGAGAATGGTTTTTCTAAAAGAGCAGCTCTGTATCAGAAGAGAGGATTTTGCATAGTCTAGTACCAATATGGGCACCAAATTAACCAATGTATCCTTGGTTAGAATACATTATGTCTAATGTATTTTTCCTTGATAAGGTGTGCAAGAAAGATGACTGTGATGATCTATTTCCAAGCTCAACCAGACTCTTTTGCCCAACATTTGCAAGTGATTTCTCATCCCAGATTATGACCAATTTTATTAAAATGCAGTTCCCAATGTGTACATTAATAGCACTGTTTATTTTTCTCCTGGCCTGGGAAGGCTCCCCATGCCCTATAGCTTTATGGAGTATGATGTTTCTGTTTTGGTTTTGGTAAGAGTGTGAGTCTGTTGGAGCCAATTTCTGTCTGATTGTAATTAACCACCTTGGTGGCAGAAAGCAACAATCCTCCCCAGTCATGTTACACCACCCATCGATTCCCCAGGAAAGAAAGAGGTCAGAGATGAAGTACTCTTTCCCCGCTCTCTGCTGTGTAGCTGTAGTTATTTTCCCAGCACCTTACTGTTTTTGACAAAATTGAGTTGGGGGAAACAGCTTTACTAGACAGAAAATTCATCATGCCCTCAGTGTCATTTCAAATTTATTTTGATGCTTTCATAAGTAACAGGTAGGACTCTCTTCAAAGTTCACCTTCCCTGCCACCTGCAAAGCCTTTCACAAGTTCTCATTTCCTCAGAAAGACTCCCAAATTGCCTCAGCCTGGCAGATCCTGATCATGTTTCCTGGTTTTGTCTCTTGTATCACTGGGATCTGCAAGTTTGGGGCTCGCTCACATAACGCCCTTTGCTGTTAAATCCTGCCTCACCTCATGGCAGATCTGGCGGTGGTGGATGCCATGCTCTGCTGGAGCCCAAGGGTTTCCACACCGAACTATGAGGGGAATTTAAACTGCTGATCCCAAGGGAATAAACACCCGACACACAGAATACTTTAGCCATCCAATCTCTCTCTGATGACAAAATTATTTAGCAAAGCTCAAGACAGAAATGAAGTCACTCTTTTTCCACAGTTGTTGATGTTCTGTTTCCTGGAGGGTTATCTAGCTGCATAGTCTAGCCTTTAAGACCCTGGGACCTAAAGTTGTCCCCCAGATTTATTGTAGGTTACTTTGGCAAGTTTTTAAAGGTAAGCTAAAGTGTGGTCACCACTTCCTAGGTACACATAAGAGAGCCACGCCTTACTTGCCTTTTGAGTCGAGGCTGGCCATGAAAGCTTATTGCACTTACCCTGATTTGACAGGGATACATTTTTAAGATGTTATAAATATTGTAAACATTCATAAAAATAGAAAGTATAAATAGCACAAAGATGCCCCTCACCCAGCTACCCAGATCTTTAACTTATGACCACCATTAGGTACCTTCTCAGTCTCACCTCACACCTGCTCCACTGGATTATTTTGAAATCCATGATAAATGTCAAACAGGATAGATTTTGGAAAGGAAAACAGCATAGAGAGTCTTCGATTCATTAAAATGAAAGTTATCAGTAATCTGTTCTGAGCTTTGACCTTTTTGGTACTCTAGAGAAACAGCAGCCATTGCAAAGCTGTTCAATTTGAATTTTGACTTGTATATAATCTGTATTATCCCTAGTTGCTGTTTAGAAGCCTGTTAGCTTGCTATGTGTAACTTTTGTAAGATGACGTGGGAAAATTTGGTACCCTATGATGTTAAATTCACGTGCATTGCTGAAACTATTTTTAATATGTAATTCTGAAACCTGTAGCATTAAAAATGAGTAACTGTATTAATGTTGTGAGTGAGATTACTCACTATGGGAGAAGAAAGATACAGAATGGAGGAAGGTAAAGAAGGACCCTGTGGTATTGGTTCTGGATGGGAGGTGTTTGTGTGAAAAAATGTGTGCGTGCGTGCGTGCGTGCGTGTGTATGTATTTTCCACTCCTTCCCCCAAGCCCCTCCCCACTAACTCTGGCTCTGTCCTCTGAAAGGGCCTAGAAACCGTAACCTGGAAACAACAAGCACACCAGATTCCTTCAATCTTGGTTCCTAAACACTATTCCACAGAAGCAGTGATGTTTGGGGAAATGCCTGCTTCCAGGTTTGAGACAGATGAAACATGAGGTGAACTTTGAGCACTTTTGTGTTTTCTAACTCATCAAGATGTTACAAGACTGATGGGACACAAACATTTGCTTGAAGGACCAAATTTAGGTCAATTGGAAATTAGAAAAAGAATGATGGTAATGAATTACAGAACATTGAATTAAAAAAATAGTGCCTAAGACAATAAAGGTATTTTTTAAATACCTTTATATTAAAAAGGGGGGGAGAGAAAAAGGAGACAAAAATACATACTGTTTCTTTACAGAAGATTGCCAGCTTCAATTG